TTTGACAGGTGACAATTGTATTCGGTTGTCGAGGATGTCATGTTATGTGCTGTTGACAAATTGAAGTGGTTGCCAGCAAGAAGCAAGAAGCAAGAGCTCGCGCGGCAGGCGGGCGTTTGGAGAGAAATAGAATGAGGGTAAAAGAACGTTTACATATAAATATAATCTCGATCAAAGCACGTTTGTTAATCACCATGTTTACACAGTCAAATCTCGGATTTGTTGCACCCGTTTTTCTCAAAACTCAATTAAAATTTAAGTTTATTCTTTATGCCACGGTAGTCACTATTTTCCTTCTAAACAAAGCTGTTTAAATATACTTAATTGGAGTGCCAGTTACCGTTAAAATTCGACCGTTTTTGTTATTTTTTAAGAGCCTTAAAGAGGTTTTCGAGCTTAGCACCGGAAGAACTTACCGGAAAATCTTTGGCTTTGGAACCAAAACGAGACTACAATATATTATATATTTGAAGGTATTTGGAGAACTTTGGCAGGACTTGGAATTGACCCAATAGTTTTAGTTTGTCGATAAATTTCGATAATTTAATACACATCGATAATGCGATGAATTTAAAAAGCAATAAAATCCGATAACTCAAAAAAAATTCTGTAACTCGACTAACTTCGATAGTTTCTGATAAATTTCGATAAGTCTACATTTCGAAGGCTTGACAAATTTCGATAACTTAAAAATGTATACATCTCGATATATATCGATAACTCGATAAACTTTGGATACCTCCATAAATTTCGATAACTTGGTTAATTTATTAGCTTCATATTTTTCGAAAGCTATTGACAAATTTCGATAACTCGTTATACTCTGGTAACACGATAAAATTCGATGAGCAGTGATAACTCGATAAACTTATATAACCATGAAATTGCGATGACTCGATATCGTTTTTATTCCAAAAACGTCGATTCGATAATCGACTCACTTCAGTAAGTCAATAAATATCGAAATCGATGCATTACGATAACTCTGGGTACCTCTATAAATTTCGATAAAACGTTACACTCTGGTAAAACGATAAAATTCGATAAGCAGTGATAGCTCGATAAACTAATATAACCTTGAAATTTCGATAGCTCGATATATGTATTTTGAAAATTTCAAAAACTTCGATTCGATAAATCGACACATTTTAGTAAGTCAATAAATATCGATGAGTTGAAAGAACTCGATGCATTACGATAATTCGATAAATTTCGTTAACTCTAAAAATAATGATAATTCCATAAATAACGATAACTTGACAAATTTCGATAATCCCATAAATTTTATAGCTCGGTAACTCTCTGTAAATTTCGTCAACTAAATTTCTGTGTCTATAAATTTCGAAAACTCAATAAACATTGATCAATTTGAATAGTTCGATAAGTTGCGGTAACTCAGTAAACATGGATAACTGATAAATGGCGATTACTATAAACTTCGTTGATTCGATAAATTTCGGTAACCTTATAGCTTTTGATAACTAAATTTATTTCGATTCCTAATGAAAAATTTCAATAAATTTTCTTACCCGTTCAGTTATCCTAATGCTTATGTATTTCTAATTCTCGTCTTTATCTTCAACTTTTTTGTCTTAATGGTTTTTATTATTTTTTTATTCATCATAAAATTTATTTTTTTTATTAAGTTTTACTTCAAATTCAGCTTCCATTAGAAATAATTTTTTTTTTGGCTTAGTCATTTGCATGTATAGTACATAATGAATTTGAAGAAAATTTTTTTATTTTTATTTTTTATTTAAGTAATAATTTTTTTTTTAAAGTTTTACTGCTAATATTTTCTAAAGAATTTTCTCCGTCTAAAAATTTTGAATCAGCTGAAGATTACGTAAATTTTGTTAAATACCAAAAGCTCCAGATAATTACTCAAATCACACGCTTTTTAACGATTTTTTGTTGTTGTGTTGGTATTTATTTTTTGCTATGCCTCTTTGCCATTTGGCGTTCCAGTTACGCGTAATTAAATTGTATGCCACAATTAAAACGCTCAAAGGCAAGCAACAAAAAAAACGCAACAATACCAAACACAGGCCAAAATTTAAACCAAACCAAAAAAGAAAAACCAACAAAATAATGCAAAAGTACAATACGCTAAAGCACATTAACAACGCAAATGAGCAATGAGGAAGGCAGGCAACGAAACAGGCGACAAAACTGGCACTTGCAAGCAGCAAAATAAAAGCCAACCAAAAAAAGCTGAACTGAAAACCCGTTCAGATGCTGTGTGACATTTCATGGGCCAAAAAAAAAAGAGGAACAATTGGCAAAACAGATTATTTCTGGCTGTAAACGGGTGCAGCAGCGCGCAAAAATTTAAAAAAAAAAAAACAGAAAATAACATGAGCACACGCTTTTACAGCCGCTATTCGGCGAGCGCCCTTTGTACTGAACAAGCAAGCGCTTCGCGCTGAAACTGAGTGCCTTCAAACTACGTACAAATTCTCAACCTATTGCAAATGCGAGCGAGTAAATGAAGTGAAAAGTGCGTGAAGCATCAAACAAAGTGAGTCATTCCCTTGCTCACCCAGCGCCTGTTGTTGCTCGCCTCGCATTGTCATTTTTTGTTCAGCGGCACAGATACTTAGAATGAGGCCTTTTGTAAATAGGTTGGCAGTGCTCCGTTGCAGGACTTCTTTTGTTTTGTTTACTTCGATATTTGCATTCACTGCTGCTTTGACTTGGGTTGTTATTTATGTGGTAAGAACATGGAAAAATGTGTCTTCGTCAATTCGCACGAAAAAGGGCATCACGCGGACAACAGACCAACCGCAAAGATGGTAGAAAGTGATGAGCGTGGGCTATGAATCATTATGGAAATTTCTTTAGTGAGTGACTCAGGGCTGTAATGGTGGCACACTGGCGGGAATGAAAGGTGAATGTGTAGAGATTTTGGATAACTTCGCCGCTGGAAATAAGCGCAAAAAAGTGGTATTCATTTCAGTATACGACACTAAATTAAGACAAGGAAATCTACTCTATTATCGGATTTTTTTGGAAAAGTTTCTAGGTTGCAAACTTGTTATGTGACCTCACGACCAAGAAAATCTACTTTAGTGGGAAATTCTAAGTCAAAATGCTCAATACGTGTTCCCTCTTTTCAATTTCAGATGTGTACAATAATTAATAGACGGTTCAAAGATGAAGTATAGAGCGGCAGCTGGCCTCGTATTAACATTAATATCGATTAACGGCCAAGTGATCGGTATCGGCATCTCTGCAATAGGTACATAACCTCCAAGTTTTCTGAAGAAGGCTAACCAAGCGAATTCATTATATGGCCTTTATAGCTCTCTTCCAACGCTGCTAATTACTCAGAATGCGGGAAATGTTCGATGCAATAGAGGACCTTAAACATACCCTGGCCCCTTGTTTAGCTATTCAAATGAAAAATTAGAAAACCATTAGGGCTGACGTGAACTTACTCACTGATAACCTAGGTTAGGTTAGGTAAGGTATCGGTAGTTGTCACTCCGCCAAGACCGGCAGAGAGACACACTTAGGCCAATTTGACCCATTATGATGTCACTATAAACGAGCTCTTGCTCCTTTCTCTTAGTTTCCCAAATGATAGAATTATCGTGTAACCTTAATGTATCGTTGAAGGTCGCGGACGCCCACAGAGTCGAGATCAGCTAAACACCGAAAAGCATGTTCCTTAAAAGTACCAAGTCTTGACTTTGCCAGAGCGGGACTGTGGCAGAGACAGTGTTGTACACTCTCCACCTTCTCCTTGTTCCTGCAGGCACGACAGAAATCGTTAGCGGGGCAACACATTTGCCTAGCATGCGCTCCCATTAGGCAGTGTCCTGTAATTATACCCACAACTGTGCTAAAAATGGGGAGGTTGATTTGTATAAGAGTTTCGGATCGTTTTTCATTAATGTTTTGTAACGGAACATGTTGGTTTTTTCGCCCATTCGAGCGCTTAGTTCCATGAGCGCAGTTTCCCGGTAGTCAACTGTGCCCGGGTACCCATACCACGTTAATGGTGACTTTCCCGGCAAGCTCGTTCAAGGTACTTCTGCATTCGGCAACCACTTCGGAGGAAGTGTTACTGAACTGTAATGATATTCTGCGAGAATAAAAAGTATATACATAGCTCCAAATTCAGCCTGAACAACGCTGCAGTGGTCAGGGAGGCGCCTGCTTAGGTTTAGCGAGAGATCTTTAGAGTACATTCCGCTTCCAGAAACAGAAATTTGAACTAATGTTGCGTTGTAGCTAGCCTGATATCTACCGTAAAGGTCGGTAGGGAGAAGATTCAAACACTATCCAGAGCCATACTTGGAGTAGAGGGGAGGACACCCTCGTGATTAGCATAGTTTCCACCCTTTGTACCCGGTCCAATACGTCTCTGTAAGTGGAGTTTTCTAGAGCCGGCCAACATAGAGTGATCCCGTAGAAAGGAATCGCTCGGAAAACCGCTGTATACATCCAGTGTATTATGTGTGGTATCAGACCCCATCGTTTCCCTACCGATACTTTACAGGCGTATAAGGCGGTAACGGTTTCCTGGATCGTTCCGTAAGGTTCCGCTTCCAGTCCAACTTCCTGTCGAGAATTAAACCGAGATAATTAACATCGGCGGAGAGCGCATCCCTTGGGAACGTCGGTCTGCAAGGTCGTACTCCTTAGAACTAGAAATGCTTCTATTAACATATGTCCGGAACTCGTTGTGGGGGATACATCCATATTTTTTTCAGATATGTTTATATTTCTTTCAAATATAATGAACTCTATATTTCCAGACCAATGACTATTTAGTTTTTTAAAGCTAACAAAAACGTTTCAGTAACCAAAGAAATTTACCTTAATACGTCATATGTAGATATTTTCAATCAGAACGGGATGAGGGACAAATTTTTATAAACTGGATGACATAAATCGTATTTCATATACATACATATATAATTGCTTTTCAATTCCTCACACAAATTTCTTAAGTCTAGTTAAATGGTAAAAGCAAAATCTCTTGGACTTACCGCTCTTCGATGGTTGTCGGTAACTGCGTTCTCGCTCGCATCATGCTTAGGAAATGTTTCGTATGCGCCGCCGCACTCATGCCGCCAACACCACCCACACCCATACCATGATGTCCAACACTACCACTACCCTCCGAGAGGTAGCCATTATCTATGTCATGGTATCGCCTCGCTGTTGCGGCTGCGCGTTGCGCCAAGCGCGCCGTAGCGCTAACCCTTAACGAATCACCGTCGCTGCAGTAACCTTGACTGATTTCTGTTTCAATAAAGTCAGCAACATAATTGTGAGCGCCACCGCCACGTAGGCCGCGTGTGGGCAACGTAACATGCGAATTATAACCACGCAGCAGCGGTGGCATAGGCAGCAAACTGGTCGGTCTCTTCTCCTCGTAAATGGTATCGATTCTCGAAGGTATCGTATGGAACTTGGATGCACTTGGATGTTGGTGATGGTGTGGCGTATCGGGCGATTGCGGTAGGCCGCGCAGTGGAGAACGTTGCGGCGAAGTGAGTATGCCGGGGCCGGCATTGTATTCCAGCTTGCGTGAAGGTGTATTGGCGGATGGTGAAGTAGTGGATTTGGGTGGCGGCAGGCGACTGTTATTTATGTATGTAGCATGCTCTTGTTGTTGTTGCTGCTGCTGTTGCTGATTGTAGTAGGCTTGCTGCTGTTGTTGATATTGTTGTTGACGTTGCTGTTGCAGCTGAAGGTGTTGCTGCTGTTGCTGTGATATGTTTGCTGTGTTGGCGTAATATGGTGGCTTGCTGCCCGGTTCCGGCAATATCGGTACCGGTTTGACGATATGTGGTTGGTGCTGCTGTGTTTCCTTGGATTTTGTCGTCTCGCCAGATATGTTTGTATGCATGCTTGATATGTCACTCTTTTCACGTTTCAGCATTTCATGCTGCGAATTGGAATTGCTCATGCCACGTCCACGATTATCAACGCTACCACTGCCAACAACAACACCCAAAGGCGGTTGCGGCAACTTGCTAGTGCCCTTGATGGCAGCAATCGGCTTGGGAAGACCAGTGTTTGAACCATTTGGGCTGCAGAGTCCTTTCGTGGGCGGCACTATCAGCGAGGATTTCGAATCAGACTTGGAATTGAGTGAGCCTTTCGATGAAGATTTCGCTGAATTCTTTTCGCTGACGCGGGGCAGTGAGTTTTTCGTGCGACTCAAAGTCGAATTTTTGCTATCGCCACTCATATCTTCTTTATTCAGCGAACGCGCTGGACTTTTCTCCTTTTTGTCGAGCTTACTGGATTTCGTCTGTTCTTTCTTCAACTGTGCGGCCATTAATTTTGATTGTTTTGTATTGACCTTGCCCTTGCCGGAGGTAACACTGACCGTTGGTGGCTTGATCTGTGATATGTGGCCATCGTTGAGGCTCAGCGAAGAGTCTGAGCGCTCGGAACGTGCTGAGGAGAAACCCGACGAGGATGAGGTACGCTTTGATTGAGCCTGCATTTTAGTGGTTGCAGCATTGACGGCGTTCTGCTGCTGTTGCTTTTCCTTATTAAATAACTTCAGTTTGTCAAGCATTGAGTGCTTTTGTTGTGGGTGCGCAGCAGTTGCCACATTGGCGGCTGCTGGTAAACCACTTGGTGGCGGTATGCCGCTCGGGTGGGTCGGTTTAGCTGTTGGTGGACGTAAGCTGCGGGAAAGAAAAGAGGTATGTAGGGAGAGAGGGTTAATCAAGATTTTTTTTCGACAAATTAAAGTCCTTAAATTCGCCATAAAGTGGTATAAAATGTTATGTCTTTAGGTATTTTTGGGAAATAAACTTTATAAGAATATAGTTTTAGAATCCTAAACTTTGTTGTGGATATTTTGTAGCAATTGTCACTTACCCATTATTGTTGCCAGTTTTAAGACTTTGTATTGTATGATTGCTGGTTGGTGGACTATTCGGCCGCCCGCTATTGAAATCAGCGCCGCTTTTGCCCAAACCCGGTATGGCTGAAAAAAGTGATATTTTTTAGCTCGAAATAAAACATTTTTTTTTTTTTTAGCTAGGAAACTATGAAAAAATTTGTATTTAGATATGTAAATATTAGGGCTGTGCGATTAATTGATTACTCAAAATTTTAATTAATCATAAAGTAAATAACTCAATTATTCGATTAATTGGAAATTATGATTACTCAAAAGTTCAGTTACTCGAGTAATCAAGATTTTTGATTAACCAAAAACAAAAATATTTGAGTAATTTGCTTTATGATTAATCAACATTTCGAGTAAAATGAGTAATCAACATTTCAACTCTTTACATATGTATGAAGTAGCTAAAGTTCCTTGATACTTTGAAAACAACGTTTCTGTTTTCAAAAATTAAAACAAAAAAATTTTTTCATATACAGAATGTAAAAAAGAAAATAAGCATTTTCCAAAGCAAACTCTTTTAACGAGCAAAATTATTTTTTTTGAGTAATCATATTTCAAGTAACTCGATTAATCATCGTTTTGAGTAATCAAAATCTTGATTACTCGAGTAATTGATTAACCGAATAATTGATTAACCAACTTGCTCGAGTAATCGAATAATCGCACAGCCCTAGTAAATATATATTTTTTTTAAATAATTTAAAAAAAAAATAAGTGGTCGAAAAACTTTTAGTAATTGTTGACTGGTGTATAATAAAATTTTACTATCCAGTTTCAACTCTTATGAAATTTTACGAAAAAATTAAAAATCTCAAAATCGCCAAATTACTTAAGAGCCATTTTTTCAAATACATTTCTTCAAAACACAATTTAGAGAAAATGCGCCTAAAACTTTTAGATCCAAGAAGAGCGATTTTTTTTTTTTTTAAAAAAATCCAAAATAAAATATAACAGTTTTTTTTTCTAAATCAACAATAGCACTTTTAGTTACGAAAAAAACTTTTTGCATGCAAAAAGTTTAAAGAAGATTATTTTCTGTACTTGTTTTATGGTCATTTTCTTCCTCTAACCATATTTCAAGATCTGGGTCAATATGCAAAGTACACTTAAGACATTTTAATTTATTTTGTTTTTTTTTTTAACGTTAAGCTTCTTCTACATATGTATATGTAAATTACAACCAGCAATGTCGCGAACAAGCTTTGTCATATGTAAACTTCAGCATTAATTTACGACACTTGCTACAGCGACTTGTCAACACCCCTTCAACTATTTTCATTTTATTTTTTATGTATACACATTTCCACGCACAGTTTGGAGCGCCAAAAACAAGTGGACATTAATTTAAATTAAATGCGTGCGATTTAAAGTCAGCTACACACAAATGTACATATGTACACATATTCTTACGAACCAGCCAATGGCTTGAACGCCGATTTATGCCAGGACTCGGCATACCGGCATTCAAGTACTGCGGTATTTACAGTGCCTCACAACTAAAATCGTGCAGCCAAAAAAAATTTTTGTTATTATTCACAAAGTTTTTATGTTAAATAGTTAAGGTCTAACTTAAGCTATAGATGATAAAAAGTAGAGAGTTTCCACCTGTTTGAAAATTGCAGTTTATGTAAATTGGCAAGATAAAGTAAATATTGCAATAGGGCCATCAAAAGAAAGAGTTTAAGATGGCTTACAGCCGAAAAATTTATGTGTTTAAATTTTTTTATTTAATTTAATTAATAAGGTAAATTGCAAGATGCAATTTGGGTATAAAACTAAAAATGTTGCCGCCTGTTTGAAAAATGTTATTCATTTAAATTGATAAAATAAATGAAATATGGCAATACTGGTGTTAAACTAAAGAGGTTTAAGAAAATTACTGTGGTAAATTTTTCTTGAAGCGGGTTGCCACCTATTTGAAAAATTTAATTCAGTTAAACTAAAAAGATAAGGTAAATGTTGAAGTATTACACCTTTGAGGAAAGTGCTTGAAAATAAGACTCGAGCTATAAGATTATAAATTTAATTACCAGGAGAAAGCCGATACTCTACCTACTTTCTAAAACCCCATTTATAAAAAATAAAGAATGCTTCATAAATCGAAAATTTGTTTGAAAATATTTCTTTATAAAGCTCTTTAAATCTATTTTATTTTTTTTTATGAAGTTGCTTTAAGAGTTTTGAGAGGGAGTAAAAAACAAAAAAAAAAAAAAAATACTTTTAAGGCGCAGTGAAGCACGCCGGGTATTTGCTAGTTTTTTTTTTATAAAAATATGGTTCATAGTAAAACAAACACCATACAAATCAAAAATTCCAAACATTGTACAAAAACTGGGAAAATTCGGCGAAATTTTCTATCATTTTCATGAAAATTTTCAACTTTTTGATCAGATTTTTTTAGAAATATTTCGGGTATGCAGCCCTTTAAATTTTAGTCGAATAAAGTACAAGTTTCGAATAGCTAAAAATTATTGTTAATTTTTGAGATTTTTTTTTTTTTTTTGGTGTACGATTTAGCAATGAGCCACTGTATGTAGTACATACTTGTAATCGCGCTAGGAATTTCGTTGTGGGAACATTGAAGCGTTACAACTGTCATGCAACAAGAAGATATGCGTTAATTAATTTTCGAAACACGCGCCTACGCAACATCCATACATATGTGCATAAGTATGTATATTTATAGACATCTTTTTATGTAGATATGTATGCATGCCGACTGCCCTTAGAAACACCAGGCCTGCAAAGGAATTCACTTAGCTGGGCGAGTAGAGGGTACGTCGCTCACTGTCGACATACGAAAGTCGAAAAACCCCAAACGAATGCGGCAGAAAGAAATCAGTGACAAGCATAAATCAAAATCACAGCTTGATGTAGCGATAAACGGATAAACGTGAAATTAATTATGGATGCCCCTTTTGCTCTGATTCAATACCAGTTTGCACCAATTCCCCAAGAGGAAGTCTTTTTCGGGATATGTAAATTTTGTAAAAAAAAAATTTAACAAATACGCTGATGACAACTTCCTGGTTTTGTGGCTGTGATTTATTTAGTGTGTTAGTATGTATGTATGTATATTGTAATTAAATATAAATAAATATGTTTTAAGTAGTTGACTTCTGTCTTCTTCTTGTTATTCAAAATGCGATAATAGCTCAGCTCCTTAAACCTTTCCCCTGCAGTGAAAACTTATTTTTACTTTACTCCTAATATAGGTAAATATTTCGCCAAGATCTGAAAAATTAGTATCAATCGACAAAATTAAAACCGAGTAGAGAGATTCTAAAGAGGTGGTGCTTTTGTGGAGCAAGCTAGAAGCAAATGCTTCACGGATCGAAGACTTTTTTTTGAAGAATCACCCTGAAGATGGGGTTTCTGAGATCAGAAGAACTAGCAAAGGTAAAAATGGTAGGGATGTTAATAAAAGTTTAAATGTTTTAGAGAAACTAATTCAGAAACTCATCCCCACATTAGAAATGCTACGCTGACGATTTATATAGATAAAACCAGGCACCGATAATAACCGTTACATAGCAAGATTTATATTTTTAGATAATTGAAAAATCGTTATTTTTTGATTTTTATTTAACAAAATCATAGAACAACATAGAGAGATAGATAGAGAAAATAAAAATCAGAAAAAAACGCTTAAATTCGTTCAGAAAAATAGAAATCGAATTTTAACGGTTAAATTATGATTTTTTATTAAAAGATCATAACCGTTACGGTCCGTGGATAAAACATCGAACAATAGCTGCACCTCCCAAACATTTTGCAGAAACCAGTAGAAGCATACGAGTATCCGTAAAAAAAAACCATCACCACACATTTCGTACGCGAATAATACTTTCATTTGGACAAGTTTTCACGCGACTTTGATGTTTCTCTTTCCTCACCTTCGTACATACATATCTACAGGGTTTACCAATTTCATTAATTTGGCAGGATTTGAACCAAAAAAAATGCCATTTCCCTCAATAGAGGTGTCATATTATCGCGCTAACGCGAAATCTGCAAATTTGTAGCTCTCACAAAGACCTCATTGCAAAGCCGAAAACCACACCAACAAAATCGTCATCATCATCGCATCAAACGACAATCACAAGCCAGTAATCCCATCATTATCAAGCCCAAAATTAGAAATCCCCATGTGTGCCATTGGAAATAAAGGCTGTTGTGCGACTAAGTTTACGTACTCATTTTTATGCATTTTTCACGTACAGTATCTGGTACTTAACACCGTAACACAGCGCACTTTTCCCATGACAACATTTTATGTGCGCACATACATATCTACATTTATGTATTTATAGCTGCCCATTTCAACCACTTTGACTGGCTATTTTTACCCTTTTTCCCTGTGACTTCCGTAGAGCTACTACCGGTCTTATTGCTCACACTCGCAATCCCACAGTTGCCGCATTTTCATAGTCGTCAAGGGTTTGGGGTTTGAAGTGCTATTGTCCTCATTGGTGGTTGTCTGTCAAGCAAAAATCTCGGTCAATTTTCATTTCGTCGGTGGTCGCTTGCATCATATTTTTATTTGTATGTACTCGTATGCTTTAATCGATGTACATCATACTAATACATATATGGGGATACACTTAAGAGCATGCATATATGCATGTACATTAGGGTGGTAAACAAAAAAAAAATTATGTTGGAATCTTAATGCCCTCAACTCCATAACAAAAGAAGAATTATACCCCGGTCTTTTTATTTCGAAATAAAAAAATATTTAAAGGTGACTCAAAGTTTCTCCCTGCCTTTCTTTAAGAGACTTCCAATAATAATCCCCAATTGTTTATTTAACCATTTTTTTAAACTAACTGCTTTTTATAGGGCCCCTAAAAAACTACAAAAAAAATGTAATGGGGGGCCACAAAAAATCCTAAGTATTAAAACAATGGTAACATAAACAATTTCCGACAGTTTTCGATCGAAAAATATTGATTTTCAAGAATTCTATACCATTTCCACGAGAACTGGTTTTTCCTATATAAAATACATGGCAAATTTTGAGCGACCCCTTAATTTTTTTTTGAAATCGAAATAAAAAAAAGTTGTGGTGTGTTGTTTGATATAACTAGAACAATCTTTGGGGTTGAGAGCAATAAAATTCCGACTTTACTTTTGGACCACCCTAATGTGCATACATACATAAAAGCTCGCCATCCTCCTAAGACGAACATTTCTATTAATCTAGGCTTGAATCTCTAGAGAAATATGGCAATGGCTGAATAATAGATTGTTAACTGGATATATTTTTTTTTTGCTTTGGTTTTCTAAATGTAAGCTTGAAAGGATTTCACTTTTTTATCCTGTTGCTCGTGTGTAAACAGTAAACAGCAGTATCTAAGGCAGTTTTTTGAGGAGAAAGGGGAACATCTTGTTAGGGGTGACTTTTGCATGCGTACGAGCAGCAAACTGGTGCTGGGAGCATGAATTAAGTTTTTATTGAAAAATGTTGAGTGGATTTTTAATTAAAATTTGTGGAGCAGCTAGCAAATATTTGAAGTGAAATTGTGGTTAAAAATTTTTTTTGTGCATTTGTTTTTCAAAGTAAAACCATTTTTTTCGATGTTGCTAATCGGAAAAAGTGTACATTAGGGTGCTCCAAAAATGCAAAAGAAAAAGTAAAGTCGGAATTCAAAGTATACCCTTGTTTGTTATTTTGTAATCAAAAAAAATAGTTAGAGGTTGCTCAAAGCGCTCAAAGCTTTCCATGTGTTTTACATGGAGAAAAACACAAGTTTTCGTATAAATGGTATAAAATTCTTGAAAATCAATATTTTTCAATCAGAAAACTTTACTTCTCTGCAGGAGACTGCCAATGGTAATACCAAATGCAAAAAATTGGCGAAAAATCTTCCAAAAATGTGGTTAATAGAACGCTATCATGAGGGAACGCGAAAAGCGGCCTCAGGTTGGGTGACGGTTCTTAACCGTCTATGGCTTCTTTTTGTTTTTAAGAATTTTAAGCTACTCAAGAATGATAAACTTTGACAAAAAAAAAATTTGCAGGGAATTAAATAAAAAAAAAAACAATCTGGAAAGAGACTACCCCACAGTGTACATAACTTTGGAGTGGAAACTGGAATTTATTATTCAAAATAGTCCAGAACCTGCAGACTTTAACTGATTTCATATTTTTATTAGTGAAACCTAATAAAATTTAGAATAAATTTGACGAGCCCGATTTTTGAATTTTATTTGTTTGTGTTAAATTTTTAGTGCGAAGTGCAATTTTGAAGAAAATCGATTCCCCTGTTGCAGCAAAATGTGCAAATGTTACATAATAAAAACTATTATTTCATAAATAAAAGTATAAATGTTATAAAAAACATTTTCACCAACAATGTCAATCTTTTTATTCAGAATTTTGAGAAAAATTTTAGGTATGCAAACGTATCGGACATTCAAGTGATTAAGAATTCGTAATTATTTTTTTCGACCTTGCTCTTCTAAATTTTATCACTTTCCATTAAAAAATTTTTTTATCAAAACGAGCTTTGGACCAATTTTGAACAGTAAATTGCAGTTAAGCACCACTGTGCATGCTAGTAGAAGGCATATGGAAGTACAAAAAAAAAATGTTCCAAATACATATATATTTTTTTTTCAACTCACATGGCGTATGATTCGGTGTCGGTGGCAGTGGTCGTACTTTATCCGGCGGACAGCGCCGTTGCACCATAACGGTGGCGGGCAGTGGAATGGCAGTGCCGCCATTGGCTTTGGAGTAAGCGGACGGTATTTGTCTGCAAAGAAAGGCGAAAAAGGAAAAAAATACAAATTAATTTCAACACATACATAAATCAAATAAATATTATAAATGCGAAGTTCTTTTAAAAATATGTAAATACAGCATTACAGGTGCTTCCACATGCAATGCATGCATTTTTATTAAAAACAATCTTGTTGTCATTCTAAATATATGCGGCTCTAATTATTTTTAAACTTTTGCATTATTCATTAGTTCTTTCTTCCCACTTTAAATTTCATCAAAAACAATCTAATTTCATTTGTTTGAGTAAATATGCATGTATGTATGCATGTATGTGCATGTCATACCCCATCTTATCGGTCAATCTCTTATGCAATATGTATGTATGTTGTTAGCAGCGTTTGCGTGTGTAATTTCTTGGCATTCACCACAGTGACAGTTAAAAAATTTACGATGATTTTATTACAATCCAATTCAACGCAGTTGGCCTGCGCTGCGTTCCGTTGCGTTGCGTTGCGACACTCTCTACCAGAGTGTGTATTGCCAATTTGCATGCACTCCAACGTTTGAATGCATTCATTAAGCTGTAAAAATACTTATATGCATGGAATTGTGCAAAAATTACGGAATTATGCAAATTTGTGGCATCGCATCGTAAAAACCTGCCTAATATCGCATTAAGCGCATTTTTTGTCTTCTTGAGTTTTGCAAAAAAAAACAAATAACAGCTGTTGAGAAGATTATTTTGAGGAAATTTTTGAGTAAGGGAAGTGAGCAGTGAAGCAGTTCAAAAAGGGATTGGCATAGCTGGCGCGAGCAAAGAGTAAGCAGCCACTGTGTGATTACATCAAGTAAATAAAATTATAAGGAATTTCGGCAAAGGCGTTTAAAAATAAGGTTTACTAATTTTGCCATCTATTTGCGTCATTCAAATGGAAATTTTTGGTGCAGAAAATCTTAAAATTTATACGTAAACAGGTGATTATATTTTGAAAGCTTTAATGAAGATTTTAGTTCCAAAAGGTGGAGAGCAAAAGCAACAAAGGATTGTTAACAATAAAATATAGTTAATATATCGAGTATTTAAACAAAAATTTATTGTGATTTAAAAATACACAAGCAATTGAAACAAATAGCTTTAACCCTTTTTTAAATATTTTCATGTAATTTTTATTCAAATTGTTTGCTGTGAAATGTACAATAAGTAATTAAGTCAGCTTTGACATCATTTTAGAGCTGTGATCTCTTAATGCACGCGGAGAGACTCGTCAGCAAAAAGTTTCTGACGCAAAAGGGCTTAAGTGGCAATTTAAACTGGATTTTTTAATGGCATTCAATGAGTTATAATTTGCCACTTTCGAAAGTAGGTAAAAAATACAACAAATTCGCCTTAACCGCCTAAAGAAATCAGCTTTCTTTAATTTTAAACGGGTATTTAGTAAAATGCTCCACGTTACTTCGTAAATGTGCACATAAATGTTATAATATTTCATATTTAAAAGCTATAAGAAGAATAAGAGCTAGCGCAGTTATAAATATAGACATACAGATTTTTTTTTTTAATATTCCTAATGCTTTTCGAGCTGAATTTTCTTGTTTTGTTTCTATAAAAATACCGTCCAAGCTTTATCCAAAATCATATAGAGCAAATTTATACAAAATCTACGAAAATTTAAACTTGTTAATGTGAATCTTTAGAAAAATTTTGGGTATGCCCATGTGATTTCATTCTAATGAAGTGCAAGTTTCAAACGGCTAAAAATCCCGTAGATATTTGAGATTTTTTTTTTTTTTTTGGTGACATACTTTAAATGTTGATGAATTTTCTGTTATCTGGAAAAATAAAATAAGGGCGTAAAATTTAGATTTATAAGAAACCTTCAAAGTGGACATTTAGAATATTACCGAGGTGCTTTACAAGTGTTGCCATCCGTTTAAAAAATTAAATTCAATTAATTTAAATGAATTACTACAATATGGGCAACAATCGAAAGGGTTTTTATAAGGGTTTTAGCTCTAAACTACATGTAGGAGGGTCGCCACCCAATGCTGCTTGAGTTAAGCGAATTAGATAGTTGGAATATGTATCACAATATGGGTGTCAGGCGAAAGAGGTTTAATACGGTTTAATCCGGAAAATATTTCGAAGAGGGTTGCCACCTGTTTTAAAATTGGAATTTATATTAATCATACTCAAGTTTAAGTGTCCAACGTAAGAGTATTTAGAAATGTTCACCTTGAACATGTAGAATTTTCTGAGGTATTTTAAAACTAAATTCAAATATAATTATATTACTAGTGAACCCGCCCAAAATTGAGTTTCAAAAAGGTAAAAAGTATTTCAAATGTTAGTCGGAGTTATAAGCGATCTGAGCGCCATATTCAATCTAAAACCGTGCAGCCATTTCTTAGCGAAGGGAGGTCTCGGAGGTCAACAAATTTCAAATCACCTTATACTGATAAAAAAGTTCTTAATAAAAAAAATAAAACTACTCGCTAAGGGCTTTAATTTGATCGCCCATTCGAGAGAACTGTGCAAATTTAATGACTATCACAAAAAATGCCTTCTCATATAATATAGATACATATCGTCACCTGAAATGTAAAATAACGTAACAACATCGTCACTGAAATGCAAAAGGTCGTAACTTATAAAAAATTCAAAATTCACTTTTTGGTTGCTATGATGGATTTCATCGAATTACAACTCGTTTTATCAAAAAATAAAATGAAATAGTCACGACTTTTTCCATTTCAGTGACGATGTTGTTACGTTATTTTGCATTTCAGGTGACGATATGTACTTAGTTAGATCGGTATGACTTTTCGAAAAGGTGGTAAACTGAAGCTTTTATAAATCTGTCTCGATTCACTTCCATTTCGTGATATTTCATAAAACTTACGTGTAAGTTAACTTAATTCGACTTTTCAACAGGTGGCAGCCCTCTTACAAAGTATTTTCAAACTAGAATCTTCTTAAGTCTATTTCGTCTGACAGTGTGATACACTTCTATTTCAATAAACTCATGATGTAAGTTGAACTTTATTCTTCAAACACGTGGCAATCCTCCTTAATAAAGTTCAGAAATAAAGACTTCTCAAACCCATTTCGATTGATACCTATCCTTTAGTAATACATCCAACTTTTTAAACACGTGGCAACCCTCTTCAAACTTTCCAAATGTTCAATGGAAAGATTTCTTAATATTCATTAGTTACTCCTGAACGGGCGACTCCCGTATCTTTTAATTCATATAATTTTTGTATTAGTTAATCAAATTAGACCTTTCAAACGGGTGGTAGCCCACTTCATAAACATTTTGAAGCTAAAACCTTGTTAACTCTCCATCGTCTGACATTGCGATATGTATATATTTTTTTATAATGGATAATTTAAGTTGAATTTAATTTTTTAAACATGTGGCAACTCCACTAAATCAAGTTCAGAAATGAAGACTTTTCAAACCCCTCTCGATTGATACCCATATTTGAATGATTCATTCAACTCAGTAAATAATTCGAATTTAATTTTTTTAAACAGGTGGCTACCTTCTACCAACACAACAAAAATATTCTTGCTATTCAAACTAAAAATTTCTTAACACTCTTTCGTTTGACATCCATATTGTTTTATTTCATATAACTTATGTAAATTCGACATTTCAAGCAGGTGGCAACCTTCTTCAAAATATTTTACAGGTGGCATCCCTCCTATAGTTACGTTAAGAAATAAAGCTTTTCAAAACTATTACAATTGATACCCGATTTGTAATAATTGATTTATATTTTAAAATAATTTGATTATTTTTAAATAATTTGAATGTGTTAAAGGGTGGCAACTATTTTTCAAGTAAAACCTTATTGCATGTCATGATTTTATTATACAAATGGTTACAGTTTTATGCTTCTCATAAAATCCATTTGCCATTTGAAGGCGCAAATGGCAACTGGATTTTATGAGAAGCTATCCGCAAAGAGCCGGTCAGATCTCCTATTGTATTTCCAACCTACAAAAATCGTCTCGAAATGAAGGAGCTCCTTTGCCTAGGACGTTAATAAACTGATGGACAAAAGGACTTTAAAGTAAAGCAGGATTTCCTATTAATTTTATTTTATGCTTATTAAAGAAATACTTGAAAGTTATTAAAACAATTTGTTGTAATTTTAAACAGAAAAAGTAACCAAGCTTCTTAATTAAGAAAATCTACGAAAAACTTGCAAATCCTCATAACCCAATCCTTATTTAATAAACCACTCGTCTTCTCCGCATTGAGCTACAAATCATTTAAAAATGTCTTTGACCCCAAACATTGAACGCCAGTCGGCGGCTTGCCTCAAACCAACTATATACTTATTCGTGGAATATTTTTGCACTAAGGAAAATGTCACAACTATTTGCATATGTATGCATGCACGTAAGTACTTAAGTAGCAAATGTATCATACGTGCAAACGTGCATATTTCAATTTAATGGAACTGAAAGAAAGGTGCCAGTGCCGGTGTTGCAACTGTTGCCAAAGACCGGCAGAAGAGCTAAAAACCAGTAACAACTCCTCCGCCACAACTTCTCCATAAATAAAAAAAAAAAAAAAACTGAAAAGCGAAAACTCTTGACTGGCTTTTGTGTGCGCTCCTGATTCACTGAGCTGCGTTGCGATGGTTCGTTGCCTGCTAACTACCACTCGTGACACATGTATACATATACATATATGTGAGTCGGCATTTTGTTGCATTTGCATTTGCATTTAGGGACATTTCAACATTTCCGCACGTTTTCTATTTATGTGAAATTGCACAACTTCAACTTTTGCCGAGTCGGGAAAAAGGGGGAAAAAGCAATCCAGCATACAAATAGGCTGTGAAACAAAGAAAATTTTGCAGCGGCAGCAGCAGCAGAAGAAGGAAGGAACTGTAAAATATTTATGTGAATATGCAACATTATTTTCGACTTCCGTCAGCAGCCAGCGCAACTCCTTTTGCTGCCGATGCATTCATCAATGCTGTTGCCACTGTGACTGGAGTCCAAAAAGGCAA